CCGGAGAATCCGGTTTATGACACACCCAGGGGGGAGGGAGGGGGAAACAGGGTCCCAGGGGACTGGAAATGAGGTAGGCCAGAGTTGGCTTCATACAGGGCAGGGCCAATATGTCGCCTCTAATGAATCCTTTGAAGTTTTTTGATGTTTGGCTCGAGAAACATGATTTCATTAGGGCGATTTCTGGAATCCTAATTAAGAAGGATGGCTCTTAAGTAAGCCATGCCTGATTTTATAACCGTTTTGCCACAGTTGTTAAAACAAATCACTGCCGTTCAGTGGTGGGATTCTATCAGTTTACCTACCGGTTTGGTGATTGCACACTTCACACGTGCGCATGTGTGTGAACCCTAATGTGCAACGTGCACACCTAATGCATGCACAGTTTTCCAAACACCAGCTGAGACTGTATGGCGCCAATCAGTTGAGAGGATAAAAAACAGAAAAGCGCAGGGGTGCGTGGAAGGACAGTTCGGGTGAACCGGGCCAAACCGGCAGCTGACTGCTGCAATTGTTAAGGGAATAATGCGGTATGTTAAGCAGATCCGGCTTCCCCGTTTATTTTGCTTTTGGCAAGATGGCTGGAGAGGTCACAAACATGGCTCACGTCATCCTGGGATGCTACCACCACGATTGTGCATACACACTGCTTGTCAAGCGCCCAGGTTTTGATTGTGTGACTATGGGGACGTTGCGATGGTTGTAAGTGCCAAGGGCCTGTCGTAATTCACTTTTTTTTTAGTGCCATTGTAACTGTGAATGGATATTAAATGAAAGGTTGTATGTTGTAAATTATCTGTACGTTGTTTTAAGAAATTAATTGTGGGAGCGCCTAGAGTCGCTTTATATGGGAGACATATAAATTTAATAATAAAACATAAAAGAGACACAGATCAAACCATTAAAAAATAATAATAGTATATAATTCTCAAAGTTCCCAAGTTTGAAGATGCTGGCTGGGGAATTCTGGGAGTTGAGGTCCACAAGTCTTAAAGTTACCAAGGTTGAAGGTGCTGGCTGGGTGTTCTGACCAAGGCTTATTAAGATACTAGCAAACACACGTTAGTCCCCAAACCCTTTTTTCTTTATTTCAACAGCTGGGAATTTCACAGCCCGTAATGAGCCTCAAACAGTTTGTAAAGAGTCCTGTGGAAGTCTGCCAAAGTCCTTTGGGATAACTCTGATAAGCACCCACCTTTATCTCCCTTGAAATGCTGCCAATGACTAAATTTCCAATTAGTTAATACAAGGCCAAACGGAGCAAAAATTCAACATGAAGCTTCAGGTTTCAAACCAACCAGTATGGACAAAGTTGCTTCCTGCAAAGGCTCACGTCCCTTTGCTCCTCCTTGGTGTCTTATGGGAGGGGCAATCACCTCCAAGCCTTACTCCCGAGTCACCCCTTTTATCTTCACTGTTCTTGCCTTCTGGCAGCTCTGCGCACACGTGCTCTGGGAACAGGCTCCCCTTGTTCCTCTGCCTTGCTGCTGCCAGACTCAGGTGGCTCCAGAATCAGCACACAACTCCCAGATGGTCCTCGCCCCATTTCTGTATTGGATGCAGATCCATCGTCCAAATCCTCCCCAAATTCCAGGACTGGTCCCTGTTCCTCCCCACTGTCCGTCTGCTGCCGTCTCCGCAGGCTGCCGGCGGACCACAACACTGGGGAATTCTGGGAGTCGAAGTCCACAAGTCTTAAAGGTGCATCTTTGGTCTAAATAAAGCAAACAACCCATCAATGAATTGTAACAACAATTCCATGAATATCCAACGTATCAAAACATAAAACAGCATGGAAAAAAAATGTATCTCTATGAAGCCCCAACGACACGCAACGTTTTCCCAGAATCAAAGCCGAGCCGGATTCTGACGATTCTCCCTCCGTGTTCTTCCTCTGCAGAAAAGTCGGTGCCCTTGCGCATCCTCTACGAGAAATACGCTGGCTGCCTCACCGCGGACAACATGATCAAAGTCACAGCAGTCCTGCAGCAGGCAGAAAATCAGAAGATCCTGCTCCAAGTGCGGGACTTCCACGTCAAGAACCCCGACATCAAAATCCGGGTGAGGCACTTTGGGGAGGACCTGGCAAGGAAGGAGGGTCCCTTCCACGAGGAGAAGAGGGGGGGGGGGGCAGGGACTTCAGGCAGATGGGGGGCAGGGGCTGCAATAACCATTGGGAAGGCTCGGAGCTCACATCCATCCATCTCTATCAATCCATGTATCATATATCTATCTACCATCTATTATGTATCTATCTATTCATCTTAATCTATCTATCGTATATCTATCTATCATCTATCTATTCATATCTACCATATATCTATCATCTATTATCTATCCATCCATCCATCAATCCATCCATCTATCATCTATCTATCCATCTACCATCTATGTATCCATCCATCTATCATCTATCCATCTAACCATCTATCCATCTATCATCTATCGATTTAACCATCTATCTATCCATCTATCATCTATCTATCCATCTATCTATCCATCTATCATCTATCAATCATCCATCTATCCATCTACCATCTATGTATCCATCATCTATCATCTATCCACCTATCTATCCATCTATCATCTATCCATCTAACCATCTATCCATCTAACCATCTATCTATCCATCCATCCATTTATCCATCTATCCATCTATCTATCCATCTATCATCTATCCATCTATCAATCATCTATCAATCATCCATCCACCTATCTATCCATCCATCTATTATCTATCTATCTATCTATCTATCTATCTATCTATCTATCTATCTATCCATCTGTTATCTATCTATCTATCTATCCATCCATCTATCCATCTATCTATCTATCTATCCATCTGTTATCTATCTATCTATCTATCTATCTATCTATCTATCTATCTATCTATCCCTCCATCCATCATCAATCTATCTATCTATCCATCACCTATCTATCTATCCATCCATCTATCCATCTATCCATCCATCTATCTATCTGTCTCTATCATCTATTCATCCATCTATCCATCCATGTATGAAAAATGGTCATAAGTCACTTTTTTCAGTGCCGTTGTAGCTTTGAGTAGTCACTAAACAAACCGTTCTAAGTTGGGGACTGCATGTACCTTATTCTACTTCTCCCTTTCCTTGCACTTTTCCCTTCCCTTCTCCCTCCCTTATTATCTTTTGTATATTTGTATTTTATATTATAAATTGATAAAATAATATTAAACTGTCTCGCTTAGCAACAGAAAATCTGAGGCTCCAATGTGGTCATAAGTCAAGGAGTCCCTGCCAGAATTCGAAGTGAGGGCGCTGCTTTTCCTCTTTCCGACCTGCAGGTGTTGGGCGAGCCGATGCAGAAGCGCAAACTGGTGGCCGAGCTGACCCTGACCAACCCCCTCCCCACCGCCCTGACCGGCTGCATCTTCATGATGGAGGGGGCCGGACTGACCGCGGGACAGAAGGTCCAGGAGCTGTAAGTGGGACCTCAGAATGACGTTCAGATGGCCGTCTGGTCTGGGAGGATTTTGTTGGGGGTCCTGCTCGAAGCTGGGGCTGGACTGGATGACCTCATGGGAACCTGTCCAGATTTAAAAATCAAGTCACAAAATCAGATGTGACTGGATTCACAAATGGCCTCCTTTAGCCATAGAAATTCTGTCCATCCATCCATCCATCTTCATCTCTATGGTATCTATCTATCTATCTATCTATCTATCTATCTATCTATCTATCTATCTATCTATCTATCATCTATCTATCTATCTATCTATCTATCTATCTATCTTCATGTCTACGATATCTATCTATCTATCTATCTATCTATCTATCATCTATCTATCTATCTATCTATCTATCTATCTATCTATCTATCTCTCCCTCCCTCCCTCCCTCCCTCCCTCCCTCCATCCATCCATCCATCCATCCATCCCTCCATCCCTCCATCCCTCCATCCATCCATCCATCCATCCATCTTCATCTCTACAGTACCTATCGAACTGCCTGTTCAGGCAGGAATCCCTCTCCCACTTTAGACCAAGGATTATCCCGTCTCTTCTTAAAAGCCTCCCAGAGTTAGAGCATTCCCAACTTCTGGAGGCCAGCCGTTCCACGGGTGAATTGTCCTCACGGCCAGGAAATGTCTATTTTCCCCTCCTGCTCCAGAGATACGCCCGTCGAACCTGGGGAGGAAGCGAAAGCGAGGATCGATTTCGTACCCCAACAATCCGGCCTGCGGAAGCTGGTGGTGGATTTCGAAAGCGTCCAACTGAAAGGGGTCAAGGGCTACCGGAATGTCATCATCGCCCCCCTGCGCAAATAAAACCAGAATCACACACACACACACACCCGACTGAAAAAGCCAACGACTCCAGGAGACCCTCCCAGCTGCCAGGGGTGGGGGGCAGGGGTCTCTTTCTCTCTGCACCTGTAGCTGCACCCCCAGATGCTTCTATGCTTCTGCCACCACCCCCCCGAGACTGACCCTTGGACCCTGCCCTGCCTCACAGCTGGTTGGAGGGCACCCCAAACGCCCGAGAGTTGACGGGCTGCCATTGGGGGAGGGGTTGCAAGTCCTCTACTCCGGAGGTGCACACGGGAGAAGCGCCCCCTTTGGGATGTGACTCCGAGGGGGTGCCCTGCCCTGCCAGACTACCCACACACACACACTTTGTGTGTCCTTGAGATCCTGCTAAGATGTTGGCCACCATTTCTGGTCACCTGGGATGGCTGGGAGGTGAGGTCAGGCTGAAGGGGAGGGATTATCTTAGGGCAGGGGAGGGTCCCATGTTGGCAACTTTAAGACTTATGGATCTCAAGACTAGTGAACTTCAACTCCCAGAATTCCCCAGCCAGCTTTGCTGGCTGGGGAATTCTGGGAGTTGAAGTTCACAGGGTTGAAAGATGCCAAGGTTGGACACTCCTGATCAGAAGGTTCTTCTCCAACTGCCCTTCCAATTGTTGGCAGCCTTTGAAAGCCTCCAGAGAAGGACCCAGAGACCTCCCCTAGGAGAAGACCATGTCAGCCCTCTGCTTCCCCCCATCCTCATGTCCCACCAGAGGTCAGAAGCATCCAAGAATGAAAAGATCTCCCCCGGCATGGTAACTCCTAGAAAGAGGGGTGAGGTCCGTTGGGGAGAACAACCAGTCTTGTCCACTTGGCTTTGCCGTCTCCCTCTTCCTTTATTCCCCACCAGCCAGCTTTGGCTACGATGGCACACTCCTGGCAGGAAAGAAGTCCATCCTTGCTTGTATGACTACACAACCCCTAAGGCACTCCAACGGCTTATCGTTGAGAGGTCTCTTTCTTTTCTCAAAGCATGAAACTCCTGGGTTTGCCTGCTGGCCTGTCGGTGGATGTTTCCATCAGGACAGGATGGCTCACCTCTGGTGGCCCTGAAGTACACTTCTGGCACCACTTCTTTGACCAAGAAGTAACAGCCTTTGGAGCTTCTGGCAAACCATGTTCCCTGAAGCAACCTGGTTTCTCAAGCTCAGCCACTTGAAGATGGGTGGACTTCAACTCCCAGCATTCCACAGCCAGCAGAATTCTGGGAGTTGAAGTCCACGCCTATCTTCAAGGGGCCAAGTTTGACAGATGCTGAGTTAGATCTCAAGAATGTTGTTTTACATGATTTCCAACCCCTACTTGGAAGAAGAAGGGGAAATTCTTGATTATTATTTTTTTGATAGTTGTGTGTCTCTTGGGGTGTATGTGGGGGTAGGTAGGTGTTTGGGTCCTTCAACCCATGGGAGGGATCTACAATAGCTCAGGAATAGAACCGGAGAAGAAAAGGGCTAGGAAGCAGAGCATCAATGAACCACGGCTGGAGAGCATGTCAACCAAGGGTCTTCAAACTTGGCAGCTTTAAGGCTTGTGGACTTCAACTCCCAGAATTCCCAAGCTAACATGACTGGAGGAGGAATTCTGGGAATTGAAGTCCACAAGCCTTAAAGCTATCAAGTTTGAACACCCCTGACCTAAACCTTCATCAAACTGCCTATCAGAAAGTATTTTTGAAAGAAGGAAGGTGTTGCATCGTCCGTCCACTGACCCACCGAGGGGGTCCCTTTCTCTAAAAGCACCAAATGTGATCAGAAAAGTGCTGCAGGTGGACCACAAGCCCATGATGGCTTGCAGAAGAGTGCTGTGATGACCCGGGGCGTGACACAAAAATAATCAAGTGACAAAAATAGTATAAAGTTCCTTTAATGCTTCCAACTTGGCCCCAATGTCCAATTATCCTCAGCTGGAAATCAAACCCTTAAAGAAAACAGTTTACAGAGGAAGTAAATGCAGTCCGCACCCAAAGTTAAATTCGAAATAAAAAAAACCCAACACAAACCACACTGAAGGAATTACTGCAGCAGGCAAGGATGATTAATTCCACCAGATAATGCAGAAACCACAGTTGGGAGGAAGCCAAAACACAGATAAGCTCTGACAAGAATAATGCACGCTTTGTTTCCAGCACTGGGCCATGCACAGTTTGTCCTTTTAAACAGTCCTCCCAGCTGCAGCCCATGAAGGGGATCAGGGCCCTTCCTCCCCCATAGGCCACTCCGCTCACATTTCTCTCTTATCCTCTCCTCCCTGCGTGCCCTAGGATGAAGAGGGGGTGGTCCTGGGTCTTCCTCTGAATGCCCAGCCGGACTGTGCCCCTTCCCCAGTTTCCTCCACAGCCACCAGAGCCACACTCCCACCCCCTGTCGGCTATTCCTCCTCTCCCTCAGAGTCCGACTCCAACAGGGGCATGACAAGTGCCTTCAGAGAGAAGCCAGCATCAGCTTGTTGGCTGTTGGTCAACCCTGCCTTGACTACCTCCAGAGTTTTATCGAAAGAAACATCTTGAAGAGGGATGGATTTCAACTCCCAGAATCCCGCCTGGAGCCTCTGCGAACCACGTTCCCCAAGCAAATGTGGTTAGAGCAATGTTTCTCAACCTTGGCCACTTGGGGATGGGGTGGACTTCAACTCCCAGCATTCCCCTTCCAGCAAATCCCGGGAGCAGAATTCCACTCATCAAATGACCAAGTTTGAAAAGGGCTGGGTTGGAGAGAGAGCTGGATCCCGGGGACCTACTGGACTCCAGCGGCCATGCTGGAAGGGGAACGTGGAACATGAGAAGGCGACGGAAAAAGGGTACAGATGTGGAAAGGAAGACTGCCTCCCAGCACACTCCCAAACCAAGATCAGGCTGGCTTTTTCGGGGAGCCGATAGTCACTTGCCTAAGGTGTGGCTGACCATGAATGCCTGCTGTTTGGGCTCCTGTGCTTCTCCAGCTGTGTTACTAGTTCTGAGTCAACCCAGCATGTTTTGGCTTCCTTATCGAGGAAGGTGCTTGGCAACCATTCAGCAACACTCCCAGAGATGGGCAAGACAAGCACAAATGATGGGTGGGTGGGTGGGTGGATGAACGAACAGGCAGAGATGGTCAGGGATGGGTGGCCAACTCAGAAAAACCAGTTGAGAAGATCCAGACCAGCCTTTTCCCAGCTCTGGTGGTCTACAGG